TGCTTGCAATCCTGTTCTTTGACAGTGTAAACTGTGCACAGTGGAATGGAGTGTAGATTATGTGTTAAAGTTTGAACAATGATGGCAAGTGGTTTATTTGTTTGGTGTGATAGACAATGGATTGCATTCTTGCCATCTAATCTTCCAGGCTTACATGTGCTAGGTGGTAGTATACACAATGGGGAATTATTTTCTTTCCATCTATTAAACTGCTTAGAGCATAACATTTTTTACAGTAAAGCACTATTTGTTGGAGCTGACATTCTTCTAATTATATTTGGAGTTTAGTCTAGAACATATTGAGTGATGTGTCGGGTTATTTTATTATTGCTTAGAATATTGTTGAATGTATTTTCATAGTTTCACATCGTGATCAGTGATTTCCCCATCTAATATTTGAGCACTAATATTGTTGGGTGGATAATTTTCATATAAATTATATATACATATATTTCACATATGTCAAAAAACAAAATGAAATTAATCATTGGGAACATTCGAAATCAGAATATTTCAGGAAATGTTGGAATTTGTAGAAATCAATGAAGGTAATTTTGATAACAGACATTTCAATATTTCGGAAAAAATGCATTTACGACCATTATAAATATCGGAATATGTTCCAGGTTTCATATATTACTTATAGAGTTTAACAGATAAATATATGCAAGATTGTAATATGAGAAAATTCAGAAATTAAAATGTATTTAAACGAAACTTATAGTGCTAAGGCCGTATATGTAAACGTTTGATAATTTTCTTATCCAAAATGATCTCAATAACGGAGATGCCTTATCACTACTACTTTTAAGTTTGGTTTAGAATATGCCATTATGAATGTCCAGGAACACCAGGTGGGACTGAAATTAAATGGGACACATCAGCTGTTGGTCTATGTTGATGATGTGAATCTACTGTCTGATAATATAGTTACCATAAATAAAAACACATAATCTTTAATTGATACTAGTAAGGAGCTTGATGTAGGAATAAACACAGAGAAAACCAAGTATATGCTGCTGTCTCATGACCAGAATGCAGAGAAAATCAAGACAGATGTTTTAAAATGTGGCACAGTTAAGATATTTTGGAATGAGAGTAACAAATCAGAATTTGATTCTGGAGGAAATTAAGAGGAGACTGAACTAATGTTTGCTACCATTCAGTCCAGAACCTTTTGTCTAGTCTGCTATCTAAAAACAGAAATCAGAATATACAAACTATAATTTGTATGTGGCTCTGTATGGGTGTGAAACTTGGTCTCTAACATTAAGGAAGGAACATGGACTGAGGATGTTGGAGAACAGATGCTGAGAAGAATATTTGGACCAAAAGGAGATGAAGTGATGGGAAGTTGGAGATCCTACATAATGAGGAACTTTCATAACTTGTATCTTCGCTAAGCATAATTAAAATGATCAAGTCAAGGATGATGAGATTGGCAGGGCAAATAGCACGTTTGGAGGCGAAGACGAATGCATATAGGATATTTGTGGGAAAGCCAGAAGGAAAGAGACCACTGGGAAGACCAAAGCATAGGTGGGTGGACTACATTAAAATGGATCTTAGAGAGATAGTGTGGTATGGTATGGGTAGAATGATCTGGCTCAGGATAGTGACCAACAGGGCTCTTGTGATCATGGTAATGGACCATCAGGTTCCATAAAATGCTAGGAAATTCTTGACTAGCTGCAGAATTGGTGACTCCTCAAGAAGGGATCAGCTCCATGATTAAGTAACTAGTATATGTATATAGTTATCTAGCTGGGATCCTAGGATATAGAATTCAACCAAGAACTTGTTTTCTGCTGAGCATTATTTTATATGGCATAGGAATCATTTGCAAGATGTTTGTCCAATATTTGAGCAGAAATATTCACTTATCTCTTTGGCAATACAGACAGCTTAGGAGCTGCAGGTTAGCAATCAATTAGCATTTTTATTGAGTCCTACGACAGTAGCGTGAAAGACATTCATTTACACAGTGGTAATATATGTGCTTCTGTTCTAATCTCTTGTTCAGGGCACTTGTAAAAGCTTAAAAATCTTTAAAGTCTTACAGAATGTAAATGCAAATGCTTGCGGTGGACACCCAATGGAGACACAGAAGTTGTTACAGAAGAATGCTGCGGTATTTTATTTTGAGGGGCAGCAGAGCACTAAGTCAGTGCTGGATGTACAAACTGCATGTGAAGGGAATGTGTGAGAATAAGTTACTGTTGCAAGATCATCTGCAGCATCCAGCTATCCCGTGTGACAATATTGAAGATTTAATTCTCAGTGAACTTCAAGTCAGGAAGTTTTCTTTTAAATAATGAATTTAAATACAGGGACAAGTTGAAAGACAGCCGCGTGTTGACTTAAAAATGTTATTCAAACTTCTTTGGGTAACAGTAGAAACTTGAATTACTAAATCATTGTTGAAAACATACTCCATAAATACCAAACCCTCAGCTGCACTATGAGTTCGAAGGTTCATTACTTGTGCTCATATTTAGACTGTTTTCCTGAAAAGAGCTATAATTCTGTGGTAAACGAAGGGAAGTATTCATTAGAACACAATGAAAATGGAGGAAGTAGATTATTTGCATGAAGGATATAACAGGTTTGATCATCTCAGCAAAACACAAAGAATACCAAAAGATCGTCGTACCGATCGCATGTAATTTGAATTCGAATGTATGTCCGTTTTCATGTCTCTTTTTCTTCCATTATCATCAGTTTATCGTGTATTTTTGGAAATTAATAAAATGTTCATTGCGCCGTTATTAATGAAATAAGAGAAGAGAAAATGCATTTTTAAATTATCCTGATTTGTAAAATGGCCCTATAAGATGTAGCAAAATGGATATATTATTTATTTCATATTCTTAGAACAGCCTTTACTTCGCTCTACATGTCTTCCGCTTTTACGTCTAATAAATACATTCAGTTTCTTTTAACCACATTTAAATTTGCTCAAATTATTCGATATTTCTCAATAATCGAAATATTCGACAATTGTCAGCGGTTGTCAGTGGCTAATGTATCGATTGTAACCAACACAATTTTATATGATGATGTTGGTATGTGTAAGTATGTGTGTGAAATGATTTCGAGATTCGTATTGTGGTCGTAAAGATGCGTTCTGATAATTTCTGGACACTTTCGACAAGGAAGATATACATTCCTAATGGACTGGTTAATTTCAAAAGTACTTCGGGGCAAAACCAAGTTCCTTAATTTCGATTTTGTAAAATTGTATTATTCCAAAAAACATAACCTGAAAGAACTCCTGCTAACTATGCCAAGAGACGCAAAACACACCGCAGAACTACAGAAGCAGCGTCAAAAGTTGAAAGAAAAAGGACAGAAGTATGTTCCAGGAACTGTCTCTTTACAGGTACTTGGCAGCGGTGCTAAAGGTGTACCTCGATCTCTCTATGTGTTTACTGATCAGTCTAGGTAAGTCTTGAAATGGTTACATTATTATATAGGTGGCTATATTTATATTATATTGAGAATGTTTGTTGTATTGTGAAACGAATTGCAAATTTGTAATTATATGTGGTTAATCTGAAACAGGTATCTATTTAATTGTGGTGAAGGAACGCAACGATTGGCACATGAGCATAAGATGAAGTTGTCCAAATTGGAACACATTTTCATTACGCATCCATCTTGGGAGAATATTGGAGGTCTCCCTGGTGTTGCTCTCACTATCCAAGATGTTGGGGTTCAAGAAATTACACTTCATGGCCCAGCTGGAACTGTATGTTATGTTTCATTCATAGTATTAGGAAATTGTGGACTGGGTCGTGTTGTATCTCTATATTGCCAATTTATAATAATTTATGTTTTTCAAAATTGTGGCATTCTTTACTCTGTAATTTAATGAAATATTGTAACGGATTTGATAAACACATTACCAGGAAGCAGCTCTGTAAACGTGGTACATTATGCAACAGTAGAAGCTGTATGTCAGTGAACGAATGTTTATAGCTTGTTGCTAGGCAATAGTCAGCGCGCTAATGGACTGGTGAGGTAAAAAATCACGTGGCTCATTTTCTCTGTGATCTTCCTTATGCAACAACTGAACTGTGATTTCTGTGTGGTCTGTGCTGCAACAATATAAAGAGCTGTGAGCCATAAATTCAGAGCTATCCATGTGGAGGCTGGGTCAGATACCTCCACCGTGACCCTGTGAGTCATAGGAGGCGACAAAAAGGGAAGTCTCAAATCTAAGACAGTAAAATATAATCGTGAGTCCCTTGGGACTCAGAGCCGAGTAAAACTGCGTTGGCAACTGCCAGTAGCATATACAAAAGACAGGCTCAGCCTCTCGTCATAGAGGGCACTCTACAAAAACAAGCCTGTAACTGCCAAACAGTAATAAATATCTGATCATGGACCCCAGTTTGCACTTGACTCCAAGACTTGCTGACCGACCGACTGTCAGTCGCAATGTGACTTTGACTAAGTTCAGAGAGAATTGGAACTAGAAGTGACAGTGACAGTGAGTGACAAAATTCTGAGTTCTGAGTTTATCATAGAAGAGGAATAACAAGTCGACCTGTGAAGTGTGATTGATAGGCTTTATTCATGTGTAATATTTGGAGTGATTTGAAGTGCTAGTTCTTCTGTTTTAATTGTATTACCAGAAGAGGACCAGTGCATATAATCAGCGATAGTGCTGTGTTTAAATGTGATCAAGAGAAATTGTAATCAAGGTGCTAATAAATCCAATCACCCGAATTAGAACCTGTAATTTTCATCGCACGTACCACCATACATATGACAATATGTATGAATACTTGTGGTCAGTGTCACTATTCACTCCTCCATCTTATGACCTCAATGAGGAAATCAAGAATTTAAATAAAATATTTTATGTTTGTCCTCCCTAGCTCTATGCCTTGCTGTGTTAAGTTCCCTTTTTTCACTTGTGTGTGTGTGTGTGTGTGTGCATGTGTGTAAACCAGTTTGTATCATGTTAAATAAAAGTGTAAGTTCTGTAATTTATTCAATAAAACTTCATCATCAGGATGAAATTGTATGACCGGATTTAGGTGGTAATTATAAAAAACAATAATTTGAAGAGATATCAGCGAGTTGTAGAAGGCGATGAATAGGGAACCCAGTGCTTGGGTTTACAACTGGGCCACCCTGTCACTGGAGGATATGAATACAAGAACCTGGTCCTCCAGGTTTGGGGTTGGACCCAAGGCTGACAACCTTGCTCTGTATAAGTATTACAGTTGCAAAATCCAAAGAAGTGAAAACTGGATCAAAGCTGACAGAATTTTATAAAGAAGCCTATGGCTCAAAAAGTGGTGATGATTATGAACACCTGTGTATAGTGTTGGGCTTTCACATATGTAGCAGTGAATGTGTTGCAAGTATGAGATTAGCCTAAAATTTATGAATTGTTGCTTCCAGGATGAGATTTTCAAAGCAACTCAAAGGTTTGTCATCCTCAAGGACCTTTCAGTGAAGATGGCATGTTGCTCAGCAGGCACCCATTTTGAGGACTCTGTAATGACTGTCCGCTATTTACCAATTACCAGTACAGCTGTAATTTCTGCAAAAGATGTGAATAGTGATACAACAATTTCAGATATGAAATCAGGTGGTCAGGCTGTTTCACCTCGAGGCAGTTCATCATCTAGCACAAAGATAAGCAGCGACGAAGAGGATGATGATGTGGACTATTATGCTCATGAACGTAAACGAAAGAAGCACAGTCACTGGGGGGACAGAAATGCTGGTGTGTATAACTCTTCATTCCCCATGAATTTGTGGTCCATAAATAAATGTTATTCTTTGATTTGATGCATATTTTTACCAATGTATGATTGTATATTAGCTTCTTTGTGTTTGTTGATACATGTTATAAACTATGTCCTGAATGAATTCATTTTGATATTGAATGTGCTTATGAAAATCGATCAACCAGAAGAAGTACATATGGCATATTGTGTGATCACTGTGGTTGCGGTGCAAGGGCCAAGAAGGCCCACCCCTTATACATTCATTCATTCACTCAAAACCATGCAAGGTTTTCAGATTCAGTCCTCACTATAGACACCAGTGCTTAACATGTAGGCATGGAATTTTGTATTATCTGAAGAAAATGGTCATGTTCTGCAAATTCTAGAAAAATAAATATATATAAATTACCTGTAATGTACTTTTAGGGTGTGATACAATATGTTGCAGCCTTCAGGATGCAGAGGAACTCAGAACTGGGCACATATCAATCTTATATCCCAAATTTATATTCTTTCGGAGACACTGCAGTGTTTTTGTGGGTTCTTACCACCTTAGATGGCAGGTTTTTGGATGAACTTGTGGTTTCTCATTTTCCTGTCCAGTCAACATTAAAAAATTTCTCCTAGATGTCCGTTTGAGTGTTGTGGAAGTAGCTCTTCATAGTGAGACATCAAAGTATCACAGAATGAGGTAGTTGTGTCATGGTCAGTGTTCATTAGTGTCTCACTGATGTCAGTTGTGTGTACAAGAAATATACTCATTGCCTTTCTGTTTAATTTGAATAGAGCACACTGCATGAGATAAAGAACACTCTCTTTTATAGTATGGAATAACAGAATGGATACTGATGAGCAGAGACCACACCATATGTGTAGCTGTAATCAGTGTCGTGCTTTGGCATCATCTTTGGTATATTTTTTGTTTGTTTGGGGAATCTGTAGTTTTTATTATGAGGAGAGTTGACACTATACAGTATTTACCAGTTGATTTTCCCAGAATCTGAGGACAAGTACATCTTGTTTCAGTCACAAAGTGAGCTCTTGTGGTTTTAGCTTTCCAGTTTCTTCTCACAAGGCCTTTAGAGAACCATTATTCAAATCGATAGTTCCACACACTCTGATGTTCATGCCCTAGAGTGTTTTCCAGGATTGTAGATCCAAAAATCCAGACTCCCACTTCCATTCTGTGCAAGTACACCCTCATCAAAAGAAAGTTCTTTTTCAGGAATGTAGTTCGTTTTCATTTGTCATTAGAAATTGCCAGAAGAAGCCAACTTTTGAACAATTCCGTCTTCCGGAATATAATGTCATGTAGTTCAGGGAAAGTCAGTTGTCAATTCCCTTTCAGGATCAAAGAGTAAGGCACTCAAGATTGAGCTGCCTTGTTATTCCATAGACTAAGCAGCAGTGTATACTACATGTAAGGATAGAGCGATTGAAAGTAAAAGAAGAAATAATGTCAAAATCCTTATTTCCTAAAGTCTCTCATGTGAGTAAATGTGAGCTTGTTACCCCTGGCATTGTAGCCCAGAAGATTGAACTGTTCATAACCGCCACTCTGAGAACCTGAAATCCTAAACGTATATAATGTCTATGGACTACTTTTCCTAAAAAGAATTGTATGTTTATAACTTAAAGTGTCCTGGCAGGATTAAAATATAACCTCCTTGTTAGTGGCCTGTTTTCCAGTGATCCCTGAAGAAAGCTTCAGAGTCCCTGAAGGGACCATAGTTCCAATTTTGCGAAGCAGCTGAGCTTCATGACCCTTCAAGCAACCTCTGTTCATTGATGATGATTTTATTCAAGTTGTGGGTACAAGTGTGCTAATTAACTTACATTGACACTGTTAATGTTAAACCCTCTCCAACAAATTGACGTATTCATTTTAGTAGTAAATGTGTTAAAAAGAATCTCTTGGAACTAAATGGTGAAGACATGAAATGATTTGAACTCTGTCTAATAAGTTTTTGTAATGGCATTTTGAATACTACAAAAGAGAGTTTCTTGACTAGCCGAATAGTTTTGGATTATAGTCCCAACTGAACAGAATTATCAGTTTATAAAGTAGTCTATTTTATATTTAATTATTTTATCACTGAATGCACACCAGCTTGGGAGGTTCTTTATTTCTTTTCCACTTCATCCATTCGATATATCAACCATCTGTCTCACAACCAGCTTTTCATATCTGGTGGAGTTTAAAGTAAGAAGGGATCTGTATTCCATATAGCAAGGTTTGTTTGTTTTATAGTATAATTTAATTGTCCATAGATCTTACACTGAATGTTAATAGGTATATCATAAAGAAAGCTGCCTTCTAGGATGGGTCGCCATGTAGAAATTGTGTTAACTGACACAATTTTTACACGGCGCCACATCCCAGAAGACGGCTTTCTTCATAGTCACCACTGTGAAAACCTCAAATCTTACAAGGTATATCGTAGTTTCATTTGTAATTTGCATTTTATAGAAACAAAGAGACAAAGGTCGAACATTGATGCTCCTAAAGAACCAGTGGCACTGTCCTACATTTGCCAGCTGAAGCCTAGGCCTGGGTCACTGTGTCTTGAACGCTGTGTGGAAAGAGGAGTGCCTCCTGGTCCTCTTTTGGGCAAACTGAAAGCTGGTGAAGACGTGTTATTGTCTGATGGCACCTTGGTCAAATCTGCAGATGTTCGAATGCCTGACGACCCTGGTCCAGTTTTCCTTGGTAATTACAGTACATAGGTCATTTATAGTTTTGTATAATGGAAAGTGTGGCTGCCATCACATTAAAGTATGTTAATTACCAGAGAATCAGTCTATTGAGTAGAGTTTTGTAACTTGTGTAACTGGTGTTCTCTCAGTGTTGCATGTAATTTTCTGGTTGCTGACAGGATGAAACAGAATACAAGGAACTCGGTATTTGACAACTGTGAAATGGTATAGTAAAACTACAGGTAATGAGAAAACCATCATTACCTTTTTATGCTTTTAAGAGCCAATGCCTAAAAGTTATGAGAATATATTTATAAACAAAGATTTGTCTAAGCAAAACTGTATCATTCCCCCTTCATAGTGCTGCTTTTTCAAGCTGGTGCATAGGGCCATTGATTCTGCCTGAATCTCTTCATTCATAACATTACTAAGTACCTCATACAAATTTTGCTGAATGCCCAGAACATCATTAAATCTCTTTCCTTCCATAACTGCTCACACCTCTTCTGATGTATCCTGAGGGAGTGACTGGGCCTACAGGATGTCAGATTTCCTAAGTGGCTTGGAAATGACAGTGGTAGGTTTGTAGTTACACAACTTACAGGTCTAGGCCTAGTCAAGCTGGAATGATGTACAGAGTGGTCAGTTACATTACAGAATGTGAAGATTATAAAGTGTCATTGCACACAGCAGAGATGGTAAATGCAGATACCAACAGAGTTTTCCTTTTGATGAAGTTACAGGAATATCCAATGAAACCCCAAGAATCACAGTTTGAAAGAAAGTACCCCCGAAGTCCCAGAAACTGTTCTCAGAACCTTCTTGATACACAGAAGCTTCCATTACTTACAACCTTCATCCTATCAAAGGTTCAGGTCTAAACAGCTGTCAGTCTGAACTATACCTCCTCTGCTTGTTTGCTTGAAAAACCAATAACACACCATAAGTAAACTTGATAGAGACTTATTATATTGACCCAGCAGTAGGGAGATAATGCGTTTCAGTTATACTGTTAATCATATATGGTTGCATAAGTCCCCATAATCATTACTTACTAATAATATTACCAGTTACATGTGGGGCATGCAGTAGCATAGTTGGTTGAGGCACTATGCTACAAGCCGTAAGGTCATGGGTTTGATTCCTGATGAGGTCATTGGATTTTTTCAGTTGACCTAATTCTTCCAACTGCACTCCTGCCCTGGGGTCAACTCGGCCTCTAGCAGAAATGAGTACCAATAATCTCCCAGGGACTAAAAAGTGGCTGGCGTGTAAGACAGACAACCTTCCCACCATCTGTGAGCCAATTGTCTAGAAAATGTGGGAGCCTCGATATGACACAACTGTATGGGCCTCCATGGCCTGTTACAGGGATAAAGCCTCCTATATGGATATACAACATGCCTCACATTGTTTGCCAGTGAATAGATGTGCTTACAGGCACCGGAAGTTATAACATCTAGCTTGTTGGGTTAAGTAGGTAGCATGAAACTTACCTCAAACTGTACAGAGTAAGCACTATATGAAATCTGAGAGCTTTTGGAAGGGTTGGACATACAAAGTAATTCACACAACCCACTAATGCATGAATCCTGATTATTACTGGTATCTGTAAATTTATTACACCTACACAAATGACAGTTCAGTACAGATACTCTTGTTGGGATTAGCCACTTGCACTAGATGAATGTTGGCTTTTGAAAAAAATTATGTCACAGCTTAATTTGGGAAGTTATTCTCTGTTGTGATGATTTTCAAAGGATATACAAAGTTGTGCCTGAAAGACTTGAGTTATAGAAGATGATCCAAAAGAATAATGAAGTTACACCTCCAGTGACTAATTCAAAATGTGGTGTTACTTCCCTGGTTAAGCGGCCTCCGTAGTCTAGGGGTAACGTTCCCACCTCATGACTCAAGGTATGTGGGTTCAAACCCGGCAGAGGTTATCGAATTTTTAAGGGCGGAAAAATTCAGGGAACAAGTACTCCGTGAGGGACTTCAAGCCATGTGTCCCGTGTTGTAGCTTTACAGCATGTAAAAGATCCTCGTGTCTCTAGGAGACCTCTGAGCAAAATTAGGCAAAGTTTCCCGCCCAAGTAGTTTCCATTTCCTCTGGTAGATGGGGAAGTATCGGGGACCACTGCCAGAGAGGGCCGACCTCGCTGGTAGAATGGGGCTGATAGCGAGCACCAGTACTGGAAGGGCATGGCGACAGTAGAAATTAAAGGGGGACACACAATAGATCAGCAACTGGTCACAGTGCATGGGGAAACCCACCCCCCTCCAATAATAACAGTAACAACAATACTTCCCTGGTTACTGATGCAAAAGGATATGATGAAGTTATACCTCCAGTGACTGATCCAGAAAGATGCCATGTTGCATTGGTACAAGTGAATTTTAGCATTGCTAGCCAGCATCTTTCCAGGATTCCAGTTGAATGTAGAGTGTATGATTGGCTAGCTTGTCACCTGGTATTCAGGATTTAGCTTGGGTCTTCTAACTTTCAGCAATTTCTGGTACCTGTCATCCTGCCACACTTACACTGCTTTTAAAATAATGCAAAATCAAGAAACTTATCACTGCTTCTTTTCACTGTCTTCAGGAAAAGGAACATGACAGGTTTCCTCTTCAGTCCTGGAGTGTCTTAATGGGTATCACTGAACCACATGCATATGTTGTATGTCAGTCTTACATTTATCCTGCTACTAAGTTACTTAATTAACATATCAGATTAACATGACCGAAGATCCATTTATTCCTGTTAGTTAGCCATTTCAAATGCAACTTGCTTTTTAAAACCTTTAAAGTTTTAAATGTTAGAATCTCTTCTACATCACTAGTATATGCACTCTACATGTTTTGACCGACATTGGTCATCTTCTGGTGTCTCTAAAATTGTTGCTGAAACTACTATGCTTCTGTTGATAAGTTCAGTTTTTGGGATGTGCCCTCATCTATGTCCCTGTATGTCCTATGGTGATGGGTAGTCCCTCTTATTGTGTCGTGTGCACCTGTTATGAAACATTCTTAACAGTCAGTCAGTCAGTGAGGAATTGGTTGGTGAGTTAGTGAGAGAACTGCTGTGGTTCATCTGTTGTGAGCTCTTGCTGTGAGAAGCTGGTAGCTGAGGCTGGGGACAGTTCAGGAACCCAGAGAAAGGGGAATGTCCATCATTGGAAGCTGCTACCAAGCAATGGCTAGTGAAGACTATAACAAATTGAGAAAACCTAGTGTGTCCTAGATTGATTTATGAAGTGTAGTAATGAGTTGTACAAGTGTACAGTAAATCTGATTGCTAATTTGAACCTCATCTATAGTCACACTACATAAAATCATGTAACAGTACATCCAGGTTTTAATATGTTCTGCCAGTGAGTCCTCAGATTTTAAGTTTGTTTATATGCCGCAAGCATGGATCCATCAAGATGTATCTGAATCACTGACCAAGGAGAATACCTTTCAAGTTTGGTCATGTACTTTGAGAGAATCTGCACTCAGATGCTGAGCACCTTGTTGGATGGGGACTTAAGGAGATTGGAGAATTGTCCACAAGCTACAATGATGGAAAAACATGTCCATGAGCTGCAATACAGGAAGGGCTTATGTACCAGTCATAGAGACAGACTGGGCAATTGATGGTAGTGTACTTACCATGGAAGAAGGAAGCCTGGCCTGTCTGTATTTTGCAGGCTCCAACAAAGGAATTACTGGAAACTATGAGACTAGAGGGAGGCTGGTAACTGTAATATATACTAATAATACTGTAATATGTACAAATTAATTTTTTCCCATTAAAAATTCAATAAGTACAGTTGAATGTGTTACCTTAGTTTTGGGGATTTAGCTGTGTTGCATGTTGAAGTTGTTCCACCATTTCAGCCTATATTGCAGTTGCCGTCTTCATGGGGATTGTGAGGCAGAAGGATGAAATTAACTAATACATATGTCTTGCAGTGGAAGGTGTGGATTTTGGGTGCAGTTCTATCCAATGTGAAGGGGCCATGTGGTTGAGAAATTGGAGAAAAAGAAGTGCAGGCAGACTTTTGTTAATTTGTATTATTTTGATGGTTAAAGTTGTGGAGTGTTTAACTGATAGCTTCAGTGATTATGTAGGGACAGTAAGCATGGATGTCAGTAGTGATCCAGTTTCACTGAAATCATGGAGGAGCATTCAGCTGCCACAGATGATAGGTTCTCTGACCTGGTGTCTGTGATGTGTTCTGAGATTCTGACGCAGAAGTGGTGGCCAATTTGGCTGATGTATGCTTTGTCATAGGAGTGGGGATCTTGTAAATGTGAGGTTTTAATATCACAAGTTATGTGTTCTTTATTTTTTTGAGACAGGTGATCATTCTTTTGGTTGGTTTATGGATGATGTGGATCCCCCTTTTTCAGAGTAGCCTGGCTATGCAGTCCTGTTCTCTGGATATAACAGTTACACTCCTTATGATGTGATTTGTCGCCCTTTTTGTTATCCATATTTTTCTCATTTATTCCCATTTTTTTTTTTTTTTAATTTTTGGTTTTTCTTGAACAAAGCAGATGTTCAGGTATGTCCTTGATGGAATAACAACTGGTTCAAAGAATGGAGTTGAACTGTCATTTCTCTGTCATGCTGTATGTCTGGTGAAATGACTATCACATTCCTGGCGGAATCATGGAACACATCAAGACACCAGAATAAGGAACCACTGATTCACATTAGCTGAATACTCCACAAATACCAGTCACAGAATCATCTTTAATAAAATGGAAGCCTTAGCAAACATCTATGATTACTTTCCCCACATCATTAGAGAAGCTGTTGAAATAGGCAGACACCTAACTGTTTCAACCAAGAAGCTAAACAAAATCTGGGTTCACCTCTTTTCCTCCAAACCTTCTTAATGACATCGGACGGTACCACACTCCACATTTCCACCCTACACACTTAGTGTGAAGCCTATATATCAGCCCACTTCAGAATCTGAAGTTACTTGTGAAACATAGGCCATGGTGACCTAAGAACAAGAATAAGAGACTAATATCAGAATAGTGGATCACATTGCTATAGCAGGACACATGACATTAAAATATTAATCTTGTTTCAGTTGTGGATTGCCCATCTCTTGACTATGTGGATTCTCTAGTAAATAATCCCACATTCTCAAGGCATCAGGAAGCAGCCATGTCAGATTGTGATGTTGCTTTTCTTGTTGTTCACTTCACACCAAAAGCTGTCATGGAGGATTCAAGGTAATGAATTAACTGCAACATCAACTACCATGGTTAAAGCAGAAATAAGCAATCATCAAATAAATGAAAGTATAATATATTGTCAAAGTATCCTAAGCTGCTGTACCTTCTGGAGTTTCCAAGTTTGAGCAGAGACATGGATATATTTTCCACAGACATATTAAACTTGTTGTATGGAAGGAGTAAGAAATGTTTGTTACAAGTGTCCGGTGGTTTACCTCTGAACTACACTACATTCCCAAATTTTATGAATATCTTTACTGTACCTTTCAGTACAGACTTTACCTTCTGGTTCAGACACATGTTCTGTTTTGGTGAGGATTTCATGTCACCTTCACATCCCTCTGTATACATAAAAAAGTAATATAATGTCCAGTCCATGATAGTTGCCTTGAATTTGGGGGAACAGTGATGGCTTGCAATGAATATACGTAGTTCCCCATTAGTTTAGTATTTGCGATCATGATTAATTTTATATCAAGCATGGTTTTAGCATATGTTAGACAGCACTCTATTAAAGATGATACTGAAGAAGAATGGAAAAGTTTAAAATCAGCGATACAAGCACAGCTGTTGAAGCTGTAGGGAGAAATGTTTAGGCATACAGAATGAGGATATTGGATTACTGTTCATGTAATAGAAGTAGTCTGCAAATTAACTGTAAAGAACACAACATAGGAAGTCATAAAAATATATCTAAGCAAATAGTTTAAAAAATATGTCAGAAAGCTTGGGATTGGTTAATAATAGGAAGATGACATCCATGGAAGACAGACCATAGCATGTCAACTGCTCAGACATGTAAACAGCATGGGAATTGACAGAGCTCAACACTGTAAACTCTTCACTATTCCTGCATTCAATAAAGATTTGTTGTTACAGCTGACATGTCTTGAAATTCCAGGGGTTTGGAGTTTGAATCCCATCATTGCAGCTGAGTGTCTGGATGGAGTATTTTGTGGTGTTGTGCAACCAGTCCAGCCAAGTGCTGGGTTAATAGCCTCTTGTCATCCTGCACATTCAGGCCATTAAACCGAACATATACACATATTTTAATTCAACAAAGCTTATAAGATTTTGGAAGTTTGACTGCATTTAAGGGGCAGCTGTTCCTCATGAATACATTGGTTGTAGCAATAGAGAGTTGCTTTTCTGAAATTGTTTGTGATAATATAATAAGGTTAAAGAAATTTGATTTTTTTATAGGTACCGTATGTGGATGAAGCAGTTCTCTCCTAGCACGTACCAGCTGATAATCAATGAGAGTAACAGTTGTATGGGAAGTGTTGCGGTTCATCGTATTCAGCAGAAGCTTCACCTCTTGCACCAGGGGATATTCCCCCTCCTACAGGATAAAGGCATTCCTTCAGAAGATTCAGCATGTAATGGGATGAATGGAGTTGTTAGGACCATCCCTGAAGCTGAACAGAAGAATGAAGGAGGTGTAATTCTTGATTCTGAAAACAGTGATGAGCAAGTTTCAGTAATAAAAGAGAGCTCTAACAAAATAACTGAAAGAACGCTGACTTCATATGAAAATGTTTCTGATATTTTTTCTTTAATTGGAGCAAGAACTTTCTGCAGTGTGCATCTCCGACCTCGCAAAGGTTTGGACAGGTAAGGTTGCATACGTTGTTGGTTCCCAAACTGTCATCCATGAATCAAAGATGGCCTGAGGGTCAGTCAGTACTGCAGATCATCAGATTTTATCTCTGTCACTCGCAGAATTTTCAGGCACTCTCATGGCCTCCAAGCTTGGATAATTGTATTGTGTATATTTGCAAATATTGAACCTGTAGACCCATATCATTTGCCACATGCGTACCTTTGTTAGGATTCGATCAGTGTTTAAGCATGGTTGGAACCCTGCAGACCATTCAGTGTGTCTGTCTATAGGCCTGAAGAATTTCTTTTATTGCTAGTGGGGTGGGACTAAGTTCCTTGTGCTGCGGCCACTTATGGCCCATTGTACCAGCCCCAGATAATAGGTGAGGGTGATTGTGGAGCAATTGGTGGAATGACTATTGGCAGGGGAAATCGAAGTACTCTGAGAAAACCTGCCCCAGCACCACTTTGTCCACCACAAATCCCACTTGACCAGACCCGGGATTGAATCCAGGCCACCATGGTGGGAAGCCAGCGACTAACCGCTTGAGCTATGGCACAGCCCTTAGGCCTGAAGTAACTCAACTGCTGAACAGATTTTCATTAAATTTGATATTTGGTAGTTTTAATAAAATTTGATGAAATATTTTGAGGTTTGTGGCTCTAACAGTGGTGACTATGGAAAGTACTATCTGACAGATGTTCTAGCAGACTATATGGCATCACGTCCCAGAAAGTAAAACTCTTCACATCATAATTTTCTCTAATTTCAAACATAATTAACAGACAATTTTTATGAACTACCTGCATGTCTT